GAGACGTCTTCGGACAGCGCTGGCTCTTCGGCTTTGAAAGGGAGATGAGCAGCGCCCCCTACAGTCGGGTACGACTAGCACATATGTGCGAGGGGAACTTTTACCTTTTATCTATGCATAAGTATCTGTTCAACTGAAGGTCAAAGCTAAATTGGCACTAGATGAGGGCCAATGGAATTCAAGGAAGGCTGGGCTCTCTTGTGGCTGTGCCATGATTCCAGGCTAATGACACCTTTAACACCACCCTCCACTTCAGTTTGTCTCCTACAGGTGAATTGTTGACATATGGTTCTGGAATTACACTGGTAATTACACGTAAGGGACTTACCTTACGAGTTCTTCATTGTACAGGGATTGGCGCGATTCCCTTCCTAAAATGTACACGTTACCCTTCAAGACAGAGAGCTGGACCTTCCCCTCCACCAGGTCTTGGGAATGGTCGATGCAACGGCGGATGAATTCGCCCTCGGGGCTGAACCAGAAGCCTACCACAAAGACAGAGATTGCTCTGAGCAGTAGCTCAAGGTTTCGGATGGTCCATCTTCATTAGCTGCAAAACTCCGAATCCCATATTGGAATTCCACAAGAGAGCACACTCCTGAACAGATAGTCCTCGACTTACGACCATTTTTTAACGGCAATTCCAAGTTCACCACACCACTGAAACATTGACTTAGGGCCCTCACTGCATCCTTAGGGTCACAAGATGGTGAGTTCCAACATGCACAATCAATGAGGGAAGCTGGATTCACTTAATAACCGCAGGTGAAAAAGGTCGTAAGTCAGGTCTGGCCACATGACAATTTGCTTAACCACTGTATCTCTGGATCGTCCCTGAAATTCCAACCTTGATTGTGGTTGTAAGTCGAGGATTATCAGTACGTAACTACTCAACAGTTAAGTCCTGTTAGTATTTAAGGGAACGATCTTTCCTTCCTGCTCTAAAGTCTAAAGTAGGGGGTTCAAATTACAAAGGGAAATTTGGATTCACTTAAGAACCGCATTGCAGTTCATTCTGCAG